TAAAGGCATGGTAAATTGGTATACTTTTTTCTTCTTTAATACAGCAAAGTATCCAGCAGTTCTGTCTGATTTACAAGCACTTTATAGCCTCATCTGCTATTTTTATAGACAGCTTGTAAATATATTAGCTTGGTAGATGTCTCTATGTGCTTGTGTCTCATTTTAGGAACAAAATGAGAAGTCTCGGTTTTGAGTTTTTTTGGGGAAGGTGTGGGGTTTTTTGTTGTTTGTTGTGGTGGGGTTTTTTGTTTTGTTTTGTTTTTTCTTCTCCTTCCTATGGGTAAATTAAGGTTAGGCTTCTCAGAATGAATGAATCTAGAGTCAGGCTTATAGCATATACCTGAACATTCTAAAGAGAGTGATGCCTGGTTAATCCTCATCAGGTATAGTTTTCAGTATGCCAGTATCAAAAAGCATGTGTCTGGTGGAAAGATCAATATTTCTTATGTTTTTCATACTGATTGAATTAAAGCTGTATTAATCTGTACTTATTTCTTATTTTCCCTTTTCTCATTTTGATAATCAATGTGAGTTTTATGTGAGTCCAAATGAGAAAATGTTACCTGGACTTATCATACTGTGCTTTTTTTCCCCTGCAAGAAATTCAACCTTTTTAAAAAACTGTTTATATTCTGAACTAATTCAACATTCTGGAATGAATTATTCAAATGGGTTTGCTGACTTGTAAGCAAAGCTTTTAGTTCATGTCTGTTATTCAAGATCTTTTAAAGGTCATGAACTTTCTTTTACATATTCAACAGATTGTTTTTCATTGTAAATCTTGACTTTAAAAAGAAAAACGCAGTAATGTGTCAGTGGTAAGTCTAAATCTTTTCATCTGAAGGATCCTTCTAAATAAAGAAGGAAAGTGGATTGGTTTTAATTTTTATAAATAGAGAAATAGATCTCTCATGGGTATAATAAACTGATTTACCTGTGAAGCTTTTCATAAGATTTAATTAAATTCTCTTTGCAAAGCAACTGAAATTTTGTTTGAAAGACAACACTTGCATTTTACAATGTCACTTTTTCCCCTGGGCTGTAATTAAGTTTCATTTAGATGGCTCCTTTATATTTTCACTATTCTTCCTGTGTTCATACTTAGTATTGGGTTCTGCCTGGGAACCCTTAGCTTAAAATAAGGGGCTTTATTCTTCCTGCTGCAGAAGCCCATGAACAGGCTTTATTTTTCATTAAGTCCATATTTGGAAATTAATAGCTAGGTCTAAGATAACATTAACTTTCTGCCATAGCATAACCAAAATCTGGTTCTTCACCCATGTAGATGAGGCCTGACCCCTAAATGTGCTCTATTTGGTTCAGAGAGCAGCAACCTTCATTATTCTGGCCTTGACAATTATTGTCTTTTTTATGGATCGTATTGCCTCTGAATTCCTCTTTTTAGCTTGTTGCTTTGGGCTGCCTCTTTAGTCCATTAATGTACATAATTCTTACATAACTCAGCAAATTCTTTTGTTGATTCTCTAATTCCATTCTCAGCTGCAGGCTGAATAGACTGGATCAGCTCAATATTGACTTCAGCCTCTGTGTCATTAGTTTCATTGCCTTGGTTTCATGCCTCAACTACCAGCTTCTCCCATGCTTTCTTACTTAGTCCTGTCTTTCCTCTGTAGCATGAGAAACACTTTAGCAAACCTGAAAAAATCCTTCTTTATCCTCTTTTAAATCCCAGTTTACAGCTCATCTACCATGATCCTACAAAACCCAGATTTTGTGTTAAGGCAGATGTTCTAAAACTATGTATTTCCCCATTCTTTTTTTGGTTCCATGTAAAGTAATGCTGTCTACTAAAATCTGTGCAGTTAACAAAGCTTTCTTGTTCCATTTCTCACATTATTCATTCAGTATTTTATAATTCTTCTTTTTTTCCTTTTTCTACCTGTGTTTTTAGACTGAAGAGCTTTGGGGGCACAGGAAGAAAGAGGTCCAAATATTTGGACCTCCAGTAGATGCCAGTATTTGCTGCAATTGCTGCGTTGTTGAAACTGATACACATAGTTTGTTTGACCAGTCTGTTCATGTTAGGTAGATTAAGTGACTGTGGGAAAACTATTCAATCCTGGCTAGTCTTTTGTGGTTGCCTAACATTGAGGAGAGGAGAACTATTCTTGAGTCCCATGATATCTCTCAATATCAGCACTTTTTTTACAAACTGGGGTTTGTGAATGTTAGAAATGTATAATGTTTTAGAAACGCTTTGAGATTGTTATCTTTTGATGTGAACATATGACATAATCCCTGGGACAACCATGCCTTGTCTTGGTCAGTACACCTACATACTCTTGGAATATAAAGAGCAAGTAAATAATTGTGCCGTTGGTGTGTACTTGACGCAACTCTTCATGACTATCTAAACATCCTCAGATGTATCCCAGAGCAGTAGTAGCTATCTGCAATGGGATGAGCTTTGAAAACGTAGCATGTCTGTTGCGTCAGGAATGAGTTTCTTCATTAGAACCCAACTGGGAAAGTTAATGTATATAATGTATATATTAATATAATGCTTTATATAATAAGTATGTGTGAATATGTCTATATAGGTGGGTTTCTGAGCAGTTTTCTTCTGAATAGTAACCCTCATCATACGCTAACACTATTTTGCTTGCTGTTTGGTGTGCTGTGGTGGCAGTCTGGCTTTACAATCCAAAGGTCATCTTTTGACTCTGTACCAAATAGGTAATACAGTCTCTGTTCAGAGGAACACTATACTTTTTGTTTAGTTAGCACTAGATTGTGCTTTGGTGTTAGTTTCTCACTGGGAATACGTGTTTCTCCATGAACTGTCTTTTTGAATCTCATCTGTTTTCCCAAGAAGGAGATGACAGATCCCCCTAATAAGTGTGGCAGGAGCCAAGGTGTTGGGTTATGACTGATTCAAGGTTTATTTCCTTTGCTTTGTGTAGTGATACATGGTGGGAAAAGTTCACTCAACACCTTATCTGTAGGTGTGGCACACTCTTCCCTTTTGTGTGGTTTACATTACTGAGATAGGGGTATGTCAGTCTTTAAACTCCTCCCTTGCTGGAAGGAGAAGGCCAGCTTGCACAAGTGAGGGGTCTGATTGTTTATTCCTCATTATCACAGCTCATTATTCAGTGTCGCAGGCTTTCTGTTGGTACATGTAATCTGATGGCTCAACTGCTGTAAAGTACTTAGTGTCACTGACTCCTTAATTTCACAGACCTTGACAGAAAAAATGTGAATGTGTTAACAGAAATGCACCTGGACTGAGGGAATTAAAGTGCTCATTTGGGCTGAGATTCATAATGATCTGTACAAAACCTGTTTGGGAGCAGGGAAAGATCTAGGTAAAAGTTGAAACCTTAAAAGCCATTCTTATTAACTGCAAGGAACTAACAGAAAGCTGAGAAATCACTGATCACAGGGGGAAAAAAAAATTAGTGATCTATCTGGCACCAGCTAAAAACACATTTCCTTGTGAAGGATGATTGACTCATTCGGGGATGGGAGGCTCTCTATAAGCAGATTCTGAAAGGTTATCTCCATTTTTTTTTTTTTTTAAGAATAAAATAATCTTCAAAAGGATTTTAAAGATTTAGTCTTCAGCCTTGAAAGTTATGTGGGTGAGCCATTTGACTACAAAATGAGACAATGCAGAGGGTTATGAGGATTATAATCACTTATATTCAGGCAGCTGATGAATCAGACTAGTTAAGGAGTCTAGCCCTTGAAGCATGCTTTTTACAAACTAATCACAAGAAAACTGGAATTGAGTGCAGCAGTTTTATTGAAAAAGTCCACAAGTGTGTGCAATTCCTTTATTAAAATGTTTTCAAATACATTTGACAAGGAGCAATTTATGATCAAGAATTATTCCTTTTTTTATACATTTTTATTTCCAAAACTATACAAACATTGGAAAGCTTTCCTTTTCCTCCATTTTAGCTATTTGTAATTCTGTAATGATAGGTTTCAATCTTTGCAATCTGCAAGCCCACTTTCCTGGAGGTGACATTTTACACCTTTGAAAATTAGAAAAAAAGGTCAGTCATATTTACATGTGCTTAAGGTTGCATAATTGAGCATCATACTGTTTCTGAAAACCGGTGGATAAATTGGTTTCAAGATTCACCCAGGTGGGTTGGAGATTTTAAATACATATAAACTGCGTACATGTGATTAGCCAGGACATCCTTTGTTCCCTTTTATTTTCAAGGCTATCTATAAACTGTGTGCTAGCCATGGTAAAGGTTGGTTTCAGTAAAGGTACTCACCGAGTGAAAAGCAGCACTGACAACAACTATTGCTGATCAAGGACGTGAATGGGCAGACGTGTATGTGTATATATCATACAAAATCTAATGTTTCAAAATGAACTTGAAGATCTTATGTAAAAATAATGTCTAGAATAAAAGCTGTTTCCCAGACTGGATTAAAGAATTTAAAAAAAACCCCACAAACACGTGTGAAAGGAAAAAAATAGACCTCAACATGGGAAAAGAACAATAGAAGCACATGGACTAAATTTGGAAGCTGATCTTGCAATGTATAATTACTGGAAATTCAGTAGCAACATTATCAATGGAAAATGAAGGCTACAACTGCAGCAGACACATACAGTACACTTTATGAGCTATTATATTGGCCATACAGATTTGTCTACATGTTATTTATTTGAATCCTTAAGGCTTCTCTAATGTCTTACATGAAAGTGCTGTCTGCTTGGATCTTCCATGCATGAGGGAAAGGGGTAATTTTTCAAGGAAAAAAATATTTTTGTCCACATTTCAATTACAATAGCACATCCAGAGACACAAAATAAAAGACAATACTTTATGGTACCTTTGTTTCATTTATTTTGGTCTCCAAAAGATGCATGCACTAGGCTTTATGTACTACAAGGTATTGAAATATTTACAGCATTGTACATGTGCTCTTAAAGGGATGGCAAAGGAAAAGGTCGATTTTATCTGGGTGGGAAGTAGTTACTTTCCTAGCTTAATAATACCTGTTCAAAGTGAGAGATGACTCTTCCAAAAAGAAAAGCCCACAGAGAATAAAGCTATAGCATAATTATAGCCAATGTTAACAAGCTGTACAGCACTTTACCTGGGCATTCTCCTCTCTGTCACTCCTGTCTGAAGCAGCATTACCAACTGTTAAGTGATGTCGCCATTCTCCCCTTGCCCTGTCTGCTCTGTTTCTCTCTATTCCAGCAGGTATAGCTGTATATTACCTGTTTATATTATTTTTATTTCAAATTGTTTTGGTTTGTTGAATGGACATTTAATTCACAATAACCTCATGGCAATTTTTGGACAAATGATATGATTGATATTTACCGGATTATGGCACTAAAGAATTCAGACCACTATAAAGCGCATCATAAATACTTCAAGTGGAGTTAGGAAACCATCTCTCTAAGAAATTCAGTGAGTAAGGCTCATATCACTGATTTCCTTCTGTTTTTAAAGGTAAAGATACGATACCCAATACACCAGGTTAAACAAACAGAAGGCAGTTGGGAAGAAGATGCGGGCGTAGGAGTCCATTTTGGCAATGCGGATGTGTATTCTTCCATGCCTCCATGCTCCCGTTCGACAATCCTCAAAGCAGCAAAAAAAACTGGCACAGTCCTTGCCATCAAGACACTCATACCCGTATTCTTCATCCCTTTCTTGGAGGTGTGTAGCATTGTTCATTTGAATAGTAGCTGATCGAGGCCGGATGTCAATTGTAGGTGCCTAAGGTGGAGTGGCAAGAAAAGAAAAAGATGGCAGGAGAGAGAGAATCTGTTATTATCACCAGACTGACACAGACATAGAAACTAATGGTCAACATGTGAATGATGGTTCTGTGTGGGGTACATGGGAAATTGCTGAGGGGTTCTAATGGTAATATTACCTTGAGCTTATTAAAATCAGGTGCATCGTACACTTTAACTTGACAAGAAAGCAGCACAAATCAATATAAAGTTAACAGCTGTGGACAATTAGCTTTAATGCCAAACTATGCAAACATTAGAGGTTAAATGAAACATTCAGAAATGTAACTGATGGTATTTTGAATTTCTTTTGTGTTTTACATTTTATATCGCTGCTTGATATCTTAAGTCAATTTGTGTATTGCACATGGAAGGCACTGAAATAATCAATTGTCAATGCAGGATTTTAATGTAGGGGTGGTTTGTGTTGAGAAAGGAGCAAATATATATATATATATACAGGAAAAATGGCAAAAACTGGGTCTTTTGAATAAGGTTAGAAGAATCCCTGTAAGACTCTCCAGTTGTTTGAACAGATGCAGTTCATCATACTGATGTTCACCAACTAGAAGGTTCAACATGTTCCAAATTTTGTATATTAGCTGTACATGTATATGTACACACATATATATTTGGAATGCATTGAGAAAATTAAGCATTGGCGAACACTAGGATGACAGGCGTTGAAATTTCCTGATGATAGTTATTAGGGTAAAATAACAACAATTCCATTCCAGAAGTATGTAAATTTATTGACTTTTATTTTATGTGTTATTTCTTTCCCTGGTTTTTTGTTTGTTTTGGCTTTTTTTTTTTTTTTACAAAATCTCTGCATTTCTGAATGAAGATAAGGTTTAGGTGTGGAACATCGCTAGATACATTTGATAATTTGCTAAGAGTGTGTTGACCCAGTGACAGCATTAAAAATATGTATGCATCTTAAACCCTTTCAAAACTCTGACTTTTTTTGCATGAGGAGCAGTATTTGAGTAATTGATGGTGACATTGAATTTTGTTCAAGTCAACATCAGAAGAGATGTGGTTTTATAATTTGGAGTGAACCCACAAAGGTTAAAAAGGCAGGTCAGAGCCGAGTTCTAAAAGGGTGTATTGCAGGTTTTTGGTGTAGCTGGTGGTATTGGATCCCATGGCAAATTGAGAAAGAGAGAAGCAGAAATGTTTTAACATTAAACTCTCTTAATTCATGCGATCCAATAATGCTGGTCACTCTTGAACTTGGGTAAGTTCAGAACCATAATGAATCAGTATTTGGGCTGCTGAATCAACTCTCCAAATTGCTTAGGAATATGTAACCATTCTACTTGATTAGAAAGTTACCTTGAGTAGAATGCTTAGATGTCTCTTTAGAAAAAAACAACAAAACACCACTCTCATATAAGCTCTAATAGTTAAATTCAGCAGTCGCATGCAGTGAATTTCCATTCCAAAAAACATTATACCTTGAAGGAAAACATCCGAAGAAGCTTTCATTTTGTAGACAGAAAAGAGAATCAGAGGGGTTTGTTAAATTAAAGAAAGAAAGAAAGGAAAGAGACAAAAATAATGTAAATTAAAAATATATTTCTAAAACATAGTCAAAAAGAACTAAATTTATAGAAAGGTTGGGATAACAGCAATTTAAACAAATATCTGTAGTATAAAATCACTACATCTTTGACTTGTCCCTGTCTTGTAACTACATCTGGGCCAAAGACATGAGATATCAAACTCCATTTAGATCTGTTCATATTCCCAGGGGATTCCAATCTTTTATGTTGAACTGTTTTGAAAGAGGAAACTGTTCATTGTTCATAAAAACACTTTGTATAAAATATTATTTTTACCTGCAAACTGGGTCCTGAACTTTTAAGTTTTTTAGACTCTGGGATTAGGATCCAGGCAGTCATTTGCAGCTCTGTTTGTCCCCAGATGCTCACAGGTAAGTAATGTAAAGAACAAGTAATCTGCCATTGTATGGACATCTTGAAGTGAGACAACTGACTTGGAGGTAGTTAATCTTTGCTCCTTTAGTTGACTTTGAAAGACATACATGCACACAGCCTTTTATTTCAGCCTAAGTAAGGCTAGGAAGCATCACCCTCCCGAAGTGCCTCTTTCTTTCTTTTGAGCAGAAGAGAGGCCTGTGGTCAGATCTGACTTCAGCACACCTAAGGTTAGCTGAGAATTCTTCCTCTATAGTCTTTTAGGTGTACATACATTTAGTTGTTTTTTCCCCCGGAGTCTATTTCTCAACAGCTTTTAAATTTGAAATTATATCATGTAACAAAAGGTTCTTTAGTATATTTGCGATATTATTTTTGTGCTTTATATTTTAACTAGGGGAGAATACCTTCAAAAGTCCTTGAAGATTTTAGCAGAGCAAATCCAAGTGACTTCATTGTTTCCTAGATGCCTGAAATGGATTTGAAAATACTCTCCCCGTGTAAAACACTTGTTCTTCACATTTTTCGCAAGCATATTTGTTTGGGGGTTTTTTTTTTTTTGGTAGACAAGCTACTTTTTTCTCTAGGATTTTCCACTAATTCTTTTCACCTCAGAGATTCTAGACAACAGACTTTCCAGCTCAGTTGCAAAAAGCAAGAAGAAGTCTATCCTGGACAAAACAAGCAACAAACTTTTTCCCTATCTGGGCAAAACCCAAACCCCTGCTGAAGGTATTTCCAGAATTTTTTTGTTGTGGCTATTATACACATTTTTTAATTATTATGTAGCATGCAACTATAAATAACATTGTAAACTGCTAGCCAAATCACTTTCTAAGGGAGAGAAATAGATAAAGGAGGTAAGAAATACAGGAAAATGAAGATAGGAAACAATGAAAAGGAAACAGATGCTTAAGGAGACTTAGAAAAAGCACACTCCGTAGTTTGAATATAAAAGTTTAACTGTAGTCCTGATAATAATAAAAACAATAATCTCAATAATACATAAGATAATGGCAGAGAATATTGTTAAAGCTAAGAGAAAGAAATGGACAGTTCTTCCATAAAGGTCACAACAAGAGCTCTATCTACAACATAAATAATGATTTTGGTGATAGTTGTGATTTGCAGAACATTTTGTTTAAAAGGATCCTTATTCTAAGAAACTAGTTTCTCTGGCACCCAGATTTTCGTTTTCAAGGTGAATGTTTGCATTTCTGTTAATACAAAGGAAGAATGTATATGTGTAATAGCAAAGTCTGAAAAGAAAATACAAGCATAAAGAGGGATTTAAATGCTCTCTCACAAAACATAATTGAATTTTGGATCTAGCTGGTAAAATGATACATACTGGATTTTTCTTCTTTTTGTCTTTATCCTTGCTTGGCTTTCTGTTGCTGACAAAGTAGTGCAAAGTTCCATATTCTACCAGTGCAGAGAAAACAAAAATAAAGCAGACTGACACAAAAAGATCCATTGCTGTCACATAGGAGACTTTGGGAAGAGATTTACGAGCAATTGTACTTAGGGTGGTCATTGTCAGGACAGTTGTAATACCTGGTAAATAGATAGAAAACAACAGAAATATTATTACTTCAAGTAACAAATGGATTTTGCCAGTTATCTCTCTCTGATTGTTTTTCAAGTATGCCTGGAGTTCAGACACATAGATATTAAGCAGCTCATTCCAGCAGCAAAGTGTGGATTCAGTGAGAGCTTTGTGGATGAACATGGGCTATGAAAGGTTTTTCAATGGTTACTGCAAGTGCTGCTTGGCAGAATGCTTCGGTTAGATGGATGCTGATTCTAAGAAATCTTAGTTTTTTAGTTTTGTAGTTCTGGAACTTTTGTTTATTTTTAATTAAGAAATTTAGTTTGGAAGGTTTTGTTCACGAACCCTGAAACAGAGCTAGAAAGAAGAGAACTTGTGTCAAAATGAGAAAATCATCATGGAGAATAAAAATCAGTTTGCTCCATTCTTCAAAGGAACCTCAAGACCAATTTCAAACTTTTGTGCTGTTGGGATAAGTTTTGCTTATTTTTAGTTGAAGGGTAATGCTACCAGTGTTAGCAAGGAGACACTTGCAGCCATTATATGAGGAAGAAATTAATTAAAATTCTTAAGAAGGCATGTAATCCAGCAGGAACTTGAGGAAGAAAATGTGTAGATTTTAATGTGTGCTACATAAAGAAATAAAAATTTCCTTTCTCTTGCCACACAAATTATCTGCTGCTAAGGGATTTCTTGCATATAAAGCTTGGACAGAGTCTCAGGGCTCCTTACAATTGTAACACTGAGGTCCGATTTCTCTCGGTGCCAGAGCAGTGTCTCTTCTGGCCTTCGTAAGTGACTGCAGTCTGTAACGGAGAAGTACCGTGATGTGCCTCACCATCCCTTCTCTTTTAAGAACATTATTCCCTGTACTATGATGTGAAGAAAACTAAAAATGTGTCAGAACAGTTAAAATCCATCACATTTTATACGTCAAATTTCATACCACTGATTTTACTTCCTCAGTGCTACAAGTAGACCAGTTCTCAACAGGCTGACCAGTCTGTTTTGTATGTCTAAGAAAAATTTAAAATAAGAGCTGAATGCCCTTATTAATTTTATATGTCTTAAAAGTAGATTTTATAACCTCTCTTTACAGAGAGCAAAAGGCAATAAAACTCTTAAAATTTCTATCATGACAGCCACTGGCCCTCTCTTTTCTGTGTTTCCTTCAAGGCAGTTCTGCAATGAAAATTCTGTCCCTCATTTTGCACTCCAGTGCTCTGTGCTGTAGTTCTGTGAAGAAATGAAAATGCAGAAGGAAATACTAAAATTATTCTCACTTGTGTGGATTTAATGCAGACGTAGAAAATGTGTTTAACTTTCTCCAGTTGAATGTATTGTCTTTGCTAATACACACAGCTACGGTTGCTTTGCACAAGCAAGGTTAATTTGACTGCTCTTTTAGTTTATTTGTGGAGCAGTTGCTAAGTGTGTAGAAACTGCTAATTCTGATTAATTGTATGTCACATGTTAATGGATTGTATGTTAGATACCACCAAATTCAGTTGATTTTGTGGCCTGAAGGCTACATTTGATTGTTGGTCCCTGAAGTAGGAGTCAGGGTACTACATTCTCCCCTTTTTAGCACTATGGCGCACAGACAACCAGAAAGATTGACTCCTTCTTGGTATTTAGTTTATTTGTATTGATAGTCACCATAATATGGAAGTAGAGAAAATAAAACTAATGCGTCCCTGCCTCTAATCCAGCAGTGTTCCCCATCCTCTTGATGTTTATAAAAAATATTGCTATCATCAGAGAAGATGCAAAAGGTTTTATTGTAGGCAGTCTACAATGCTCAGAGTTAGGATCTGAGACAGTAAAAAGGAAGAGATGCAAATATGGTTTACACTGTGTTATTCCTTGGAAATTACTGTATTCCTCTAAACAAGGAGAGCTTGTGTGAAATTGTCTCTCCTCTTATATTTACAAACTGGTGATCTGCAGAGTTGTCAGTTAAACATCATAACGCTTGACTAAAAGCAGGAGGAAAGAACAACTCACCCAGTGATGTTCTGGCTGGAACTGCGTCCTTATTAATCCAGAAAGAGACCCAGGACAACACAACAATAAGTGTGCAGGGAATGTAGGTCTGAATAGTGAAATAACCCATTCTCCTGCTCAGGTTAAAGTAAACAGACATGACTACATAGTCTCCTGTAAAATAAAAGCACAGTGAGATAGAATAATTTGTTAAAAACTCAACATAGAATTTCTATAATAGCTAGGGTTTTCCTGTTCTGGGTCTGGGGTATATTCACTCAATATTCTGATGGCAAACACTAGCAGAGCTCAAGAACTGGTGGATTTTCAATACTATGAAAGCAAACAGTCTTGCAGGTTCACTTGGGTTACTTGTACTTTAGGATTTCAAGGGTAACCTCGCTTGCGAAGCACAGCAGGCTGCTTTCTACCCAAGTCATTCCTCATAACTTGCAAATGTCTGGTCTAGTCCTCTTACAGCAGCTGAGTGAGTGGTGGTGGTCCAGCAAGCCTCCAGTCACCGTGCTGTCCCTGTTAGCATGCTCTCAGCTCTGCTCTCAAATAATGCATGTTTCAGATGTACTTTCTAAATTATTCATGTTCTCAACTATTCTTCAGGGCTAGGCTGTGTCAGTAATTAATTTTTTATTTGCCTGCAGATCTTCTGTTGTATTATCTCCTCTAAAAGAACTTGAACCCATCTCTCCTAAGTGCCCAAAAAAGCCAGACTATGTGTTACTCTGGTGTGCATAGCACATCATTCCTATTTAATAGCTTTGTGATTCTTTTTCCAGGTTTTTTTCCTTCTCAAACTATTAAGTAAATTCCATATGGATTCAGGAATACAGCAAAGTTTCAGTTTTTTGATCTATTTTTTTCTAAACTAAAAAAACCTAGTTCTCATCTACAGATTGCAGCACTCCTGGGAAATCTTGATTGCAAAAGAACTACAGAACCCCAGGCTACAAAAGACTTTATTGCAATTCAGTGGAATGCAGTCCAGAGAAGTCTCAAACTGAAACAGAATAGGATTTGCAAATTCAGAGCGAGATAGCTGTCCAGCATTATTAAAGAGCCTCTGTGGTTAATGTGTATTCTGCTTAGATCAGTACCTTTAGTTAACACTGAGTTCTCTCTTTTCAGGCATAATTAAAATTTTAATTTCTCACGGAATAATCCCTTTGAACCTGGTCACAGAAGAAACTTCAGAGATCATTTTCCAGCTTGTGCTGCTTTGTTATATTATTTTTTTCAACATGAATGTCCATATCCCAGGGATTAACTGGTTTTAATTTAATTATATAATCTTATAATTAAACCAAAAACTTTAAAAGCCATATGATATATGAGTAGTTTACAAGGAGGTATGGCTGAATATGGGCAACTAGTTCAAACAATTTTAATAACTATGGTCTGATCATCCTCTTAATTCACAGGTAAGTTTGCATTATATGGTCCTTCATATACCAAAAAAAAACCCAAACCAAAAAAACCACCACTGATCAGGACTGGAAAACTGAAGCCATAAAATTACAGTATGACTCATTCTTCATCTCGCTGGATCATGTATTAACTTTCTTCTCAGAAAGTGATTTTTTTGTCAGTTTTGGGAATTAACTTTTTTATTTGTGCACATTCGTATATGCCCATTAAGCTGGATCATGTATTAACTTTCTTCTCAGAAAGTGATTTTTTTGTCAGTTTTGGGAATTAACTTTTTTTATTTGTGCACATTTGTATACGCCCATTAATAGCACTGGTATTTCAGAATCGTGGGTTGTTTTTTTTTTTTTCCTGCTAGACTATGGTAGAGGTTACTTTAAGCAGTAGCTGTATTATTTCCATACAAACAGTTTTAAGGAGAAGGCTGTTTTCATGCTCAGTGTTATTATATTGCTTAAATGAGACAAAATTACCAGAAGAAAGAAGTGAAGTATAAACCGAAACATAGATGAGAACATAAAAAGGTACAGAAGATTAGCTTAGAATTGAAATTTTAAAAAACCTGATTTTTTCTTTCTTTTGTTGCTTCTTTTTCTGAAGCTGCAGTTGCTGTTGCCCCCTTTGGAGTAGCTGAACAGGTGTCTCAGATCCTAGGAAACTACTGTCTCCACATTTTTTGTCCTGTACTTGAACAGCTCTTTTTGCCCAACTGTTTTGGTAGTTCTAGCACTCTTGCCTTGTAGGAACTTTTATTCAAAAGAACAGAAAATACCTACTGCACAAGCCAGCGCTTTCTTACAGGTATTAGAGTCAAATCCAAAACTCAGCACCTGTGCTGAGAAAACAAACAGACAAATCCAGGTGACCTAGACCAGGGCATACTGCCAAGGTGTCTGTCATGCACTGTCCTTGTTCAGTAACAGCGTATGCAAGCCGAGCCAGATGGTGGGGTGGATAGCATACGGATATATGTATATGTGTAGATAGAGAGAGCAGCCTCAGTCCTCCCATTTTACAGAGCATTTCCACATACGTTGTTTAATCATGTTTTCTTCTATAGAGCTTGGTGATGGTTGTCTGGTCTCTGTGGAGACTTGGCTGGATTTTTCCCTTAATATGAGGAGTGTTTTTTATACAGTAAGATATTACAATAATATTTTTACAGGATTTTATGCATTATTTTCAAATAATTTTTTTAAATTTAAAATGTAATGCATAAGAGCTTTAAAAATGTTAACTAACATGAAAAGGCCTCTGTCCGTTTAGAAGCAAAGAAACATTACTTTTAATTCTCTGTCATCTCAAAGAGGCGCTTCAGAGGACAATCTATTTCCATAGAGCAAGAGCAGTGTCCTGTCACAGAGCATTTGCTGCACAAACTGGAGCCACTCCAGGTGGACGTGTTTTATGTCTAGTTGAACACAATTCCCTCTGCTTTTTTTTTTTTTTTGTTTAAATATGGGACTTCTTAACCAATTATGTTTAGAAATAACATTTCTCTGCTAAAAGGTTCCAAAGAGTTAAAAAGTGACCTAGTTGTTCTGGATTTTGTTCAACCCTCACAAATGTTATTGCAGTTTCCTTTGTGCAAAGACTTTCTTTCCTAATGGATATGTATGTAAAAAAACCAGGGCCTAGTATCAGTTGTCATAACGTGTACATACAAAATGTAAAATGTACTAAGTCCCTTGTGGAACATGGGCTTGACAGTACTTTGCTTTAATCACACCTTTCATGATGGAGCCTTGCCCCAGCCCTGTTTTTATCCACATGTGTTTTTTCTGACTCTGTTCATGGATTTCTCTGCACTTCAGCTGGGACCAGCTCAAATACTCTCTCTTTTCAGATTGTCTCTGTGCCCGAGGTGATTTTTCACTCCTGGAGTGATGTCTGCATGAAGCTGTCAAACTAAGACACTATTTTAGTGGAAAAAAATAAAATGGCCAGACTTGATCCTTAGCACAGTGTTATTCATTAGCCCTCGCTTGGAAAATTGATAACCTTTTCATTATTCTTTCATCT